TTTGGGCAACAGACAAAATTATCACAGGATCGATAAGGACAGAGTGATCGGGAGTACCGAGAACATCGCAATGCATTTCTGCGTTGCGGCCTGCAGGGCTGACAACTCGTACAAGACAAAAATATTTATAGTCGCGACATATACTATGTTCCGTGTATTTACAAATCACAGCAGTGAGGGAAGATCCTGGGAGACAAGCATGTGCAGGGCAACGTTGCGTACCGTGGCCAGACAAGATATGGCACGCGACAGGGCACATGAGGTCACCGAAGTGAGACATAGACAGCATGGCTACATCATTGCGGTGATACAGTGCGCTAGTTAACAACCATCTTGTAGGCTGGTCAGAGCTCTTGCGCATAACGAAATGCGGGTTATCAAGCTAGGCATTGCGTCAACAATGACGGGAGACAGGACAGACGTGTATTGACGTTGGACATGACAAAGAAAAACAGACGGATTGTCGCAAGGCCGAAAACTGATGGAACACAGGATAAATCGAATTCATCGGTATGTACACATTGCGACAAGCAGTCGTCATCAGCGATGCTTGTCCGAGATCGGAGAGAGGCGAGGCTGGATAAGACAAGGGCGTGTGATACCCTGGAGGCAAAGGTGTTTTGAAATCGTGTTTTTATTAATCGTCCGTCGTTGGTCTCTGGTGACCCCCCATCCGCTAAGCTGCAAGTGGTACCAAATGACACCATAGGAACGACGAAAGCAGAGTGGGCATGGGTCCCGACATAAAAAAATCGGGTGGAATACACCATGACAACGCGGGAGACAATACACGCACCAAAAACATCATAGACACGAAGAGTGGCGGTACCAACCGCTCGATTCACACTAGAAGAAAATTGCAGGCAAGCCTGTGTCGGTACGTCGCGTGGAGACGGAGTAGAATACCAAATGGCGCCCATCTTACTGGCAGTGCGAGTGCTCTAGCGCATATAAACGATGCGGGGCGTCAAGTGATGTAACGAAGTCGAACCACGGGACGTTAACCAACGGGACAAGAATACACATCAATGAAGTTGCCGGGCGGCGTGGAAACATGCGGCCGGGAACTAAAACAAAATATAATAACGACANAGAGTAGAATACCAAATGACGCCCATCTTACTGGCAGTGCGAGTGCTCTAGCGCATAAAAGCGATGCGGGGCGTCAAGTGATGTAACGAAGTCGAACCACGGGACGTTAACCAACGGGACAAGAATACACATCAATGAAGTTGCCGGGCGGCGTGGAAACATGCGGCCGGGAACTAAAACAAAATATAATAACGACAAGGCGTGCGCGGTACTTCGCACGGGTCCCAAATGAAAATCATGGGCACCAGGAGGAAAGCCATGTGGGTACGGACTACCCTCGAGTACGCACAGGAAAACATGCTAATACTCGATATTGCCGCAGCAATAAGAAAAAAAATCAAACAAAAGACATCACAAGCACGCGGGCGTCGACCAAAGGTTGTTGCCAAACCGATGGATTGGTGGACGGCAGACCATTATAACAAACGGTGCTGGACAAGATTGCGCAGACAGTAAGCCCATATTAAGTGCTAGCGGCGGAGGATGAACGGACGTTCCTCCGAGGTGGGGAAAATGCTGAGGGATCTTGGGACAAGATTTCGGCGCGGTAGGATGCAATCATTTCGGCACATTGGGGAATAGCACGGTAGTGGCGCCAGAGACCCAATTGTGACGAGTAGTCTTTCAACTTGAGGTGGTACTGAAAGTTGTCCAGCGAGGCTGCTCCTACCTCCCGTTTATGACCGTCGATAAATTCGATGGTGTACGGACCGAGGGTGATGGCGGTTGTGGAACCATCGAGATCCGGCAACGGGAGCGTTGTTCCTAAAAACAGTTCATCGAGTGTTTCAGGGTCCGGGACCGGAGACGAAGTAGGGGCGATGTA